CTTTTTCGGACTTTAGAAAAGAACCTGATTTTTCTGGAAAACTGTTTTTTTTAATACATTTTACAGTTGCAGAGTTACAGAAAAATCCCTCTTAGGTGCAACACCCTGAATTTGTCAGTTTTCATTCCAATTTTTGAAAAGTTCTCAACTGGTATTGTAATTTCAAGAAATTACAGTAAAATTGCTCGTGTGACCGCCGATACAATTATACGAACCAGTAAGGACATTTTTGGATGATATACAGGGTGCCGAAAATTAGTAGGTCAATCCGTTAACCATAGATAGCTGATATGAAAATAATGGGACTTTCATTATGCCACTTTTCATTTAGGAGCCCCATTTTTGAAATACAGGGTGTCAAAATGTAAATTTCAAAAACGAAGTTTGTCGATAACTCCGGTAGAATTAGAGATATTTGTTTGAAATTTCACTAATATTTTTTTCTTGTAGAGACACACTTTCAGTATACTTTTGGTAAAAAAAATCAAAGCACGAGCGGAGGTGAGGGGGTTAAAGTGCATTATGACCCCCCCAACTTTTTCATACGCGCGCCTATGGTAAAAACATATATTTTCTTAGATAAAGCGGCTTTTATTCTAACTTTTCTTATTCTTGCAAGATTTTGATTTGGAGCCTGGGTTACCAGATATTGTAACTTATTTGGACGGATAGTATGGATTTGGTAACTAGTGTATCCAAAATTAATTTTAATTCGATGTTATTGGGCTATATTCCGAGAGGAAAACACATTACTTTCTTATTTTATAAAAAGTAATGATTGTTCTTGTGCTGTTACAAGAGAAATAAGACGAAAAAATCAATGTTTTGGTAACGGTATTGATAATGAGTGTGGTATAATTTCTTCTTTTTTTCTTTCTTTTGTATACATAAAAAAGTATTTTTTATATCCTATACGGTCCTGTTTTTATTTTTTTATAGTACATCAAATAAAAAAGTTAAAGGGGTGGGACATTATAAATGATCGCCTGGTACAATTCGTTTAAACAATGAAGCATGCCACAAGAAAAATATTCTTAAATATTTCCAACTAATTTTTTAAGGTAAATTTGCAATAGACTTTCAGTACTTAAAAAATGTTTTAATTGTCTAATTTTACGTTTCAAGTAATAAGTTCTATGTAGGCTTTGAAAACAAAGTCAGATAGTTAGGTACATTTGGTTGTCAAAATAATTTATAAGTTAAATAGAAAAAACGTTGTTTAGACATTTTTTAATTGAAGTGTTCAATAAGAAATGGCGAACAGAGAAGGTTTGCTATCATTTTCTGAAATGACCGATATGATTTTAATAATGGGTAAGTACTTATTAAAAGGAATAGGATTTTTTCTTAATAAGTGTTAATTGTAATCTCGAACCTAAACAATTTAATTTCTCTTGCTTTTAGGAAAATGTAACTCTAATGCTAGTTTAGCTGCTAGGCGTTATGCGGACAAATTTCCAACCAGGCACCATCCAAAAAGGAGATTTTTCTTAAGCTTAGTCAACCGTCTGAGAGAATCTGGCAACTTTAAGCATAGGAGGATGGGCCAATGTGGACGGCAACTCAAATTACGTCCAAACGAAGAGGAGCAAATCTTGCAAATTGTCGAAGAAACTCCGAGTATAAGTACGAGGATACTAGCTAATCAAATTAATAATGGTGGCAACAATAATATTAAGTCAGATGATGTGCGACGTGTCTTCAAACAGCAATTACTGTACCCATATCATGTACAAAAAGTGCAGGCACTTCTACCTTTAGATTCAGAAGCAAGAGTCACTTTCTGTAATTGGATATGCCAAGAAAATAATGATAATATTAATTTTAGTAAATTTATTTTATTTTCCGATGAGGCCACGTTTACTCGTAACGGAGTAACGAATATTCATAATACTCATACATGGGCTGCTGAAAATCCGAAATTCATTGTAGAGGCACATCATCAAGTAAGTTTTAAAGTAAACGTATGGGCAGGAATAATTGATAATTTTCTTTTGGGACCGTTTTTTTTACCCCCCCGTTTGAATGCCGACGAATTTTTGCATTTTCTGCAAACCTCTTTTGCAGACTTACTTGATGATTTGCCTTTAGCGGTTCGGCAAAATATGTGGTTTCAACTAGATGGGGCTCCGCCACATTATGGCCGAATTGTTCAGAACCATTTAAACCAAATCTTTCCTAACCGCTGGATCGGCCGGGGACGTCTTGCGCCAGTCAAATGGCCACCTCGATCCCCAGACCTTAATCCCTTAGACTTCTGTTTCTGGGGGTTTATGAAAGATTTTGTTTACATGGTTCCAATTGTGGATGAACAACATTTAAGATTAAGAATTTTAGAAGGGGCCGAGCAATTTAGGGTGAAACCACATATTTTTCATAATATTCGTTTCTCCTTTATAAAGAGATGCAGGATGTGCGTCCGCGAAGGTGGTTCTCATGTTGAACATTTAATATAATTTTTCGAATTTAATTTCTGTTTGTAATATAAAATATATGCAGTTTGTTTCATGTTGTTAAATGTTAAATAAAATTTATAGTACAAAACGGATTTTAAACTTTATTAAAATAAGTTACAATATCTGGTAACCCAGGCTCCAAATCAAAATCTTGCAAGAATAAGAAAAGTTAGAATAAAAGCCGCTTTATCTAAGAAAATATATGTTTTTACCATAGGCGTGCGTATGAAAAAGTTGGGGGGGTCATAATGCACTTTAACCCCCTCACCTCCGCTCGTGCTTTGATTTTTTTTACCAAAAGTATACTGAAAGTGTGTCTCTACAAGAAAAAAATATTAGCGAAATTTCAAACAAATATCTCTAATTCCACCGGAGTTATCGACATATTTCGTATTTGAAATTTACATTTTGACACCCTGTATTTCAAAAATGGGGCTCCTAAATGAAAAGTGGCATAATGAAAGTCCCATTATTTTCATATCAGCTATCTATGGTTAACGGATTGACCTACTAATTTTCGGCACCCTGTAGAATAATATTCTACCAACAGCAATTTGCTTGTATTCTCCAAATGCAAAACAGAAAAACTGAATACATAACTCAAATTATATTAAACGAAGGGGATAATGGTTAGAAGAGGTAATAACAATAATGGAAAAAAAAATGAACTAATTTTTTAGGTCAGAAATAGGATAATTCATTAAAAGTATTATTGATTAAAATGGGGCATAGGTGGAAAAATGGTGCGATTTAAATTTAAAAAAAAAAAGATTATTTTAAATGCCAAGAAATTTATAAAAATAAACTAAATATTTTATAAGAAAATTACCATTTGTAAAAAGAATCCATTGTCATGTAGTGACAACTGTCTATACTATTTATAGTTTTTTAACAGAAAAATTAAATATACGGTGCTAAAAAATGACGTTCCTTGACTCGTGGAATTATTATACATTCAAAAATAAAACCAAATTCTTTTGATGCAGGTCAACTGATCACCATAAGAGTGGAGAATGGACTATGTTTTCTATTTTTCTTGAATAATGCGAAGTTGCATATTTAGAGGGTATATTTTCTTACTAATTACTTACTACATTGTGAAATTATGGGGAAATTCTTATTTTATTTTTTGTTGTCAAGTACGCAATTCTTTTTTCTTAACAAATTCAATTAAAAAAGAGTCTGTTTTTTGTGAAAAATTCTGTTACCTAGATGTATAGTATTTGTTAATTAAATTGTTTGTTATTAACCACAACATACGAGTAGGTACTCCCCTGCGTTGACGTCGTTTTGCTAATATAAGGAGTGTTGTTTTTTTATATTTTTCAAAATATATCTCATTCATTAGATTTCATTTTACAATTTGATGTATGAGAAAATTCTTGAGATTGTGTGTTTCTAGTAGGAACATTGGATTGAAGTAACGCTGGTTGGGATTATACACAAGACAATTTAAAACTGTATATCCCAGAGATTTAATTGAACTTGATATTATGTTTCGTATGTATAGATATAGTAAATAACAAACTTTAGTCAACGTAATTTTTGTAATTGAATATTTGATATAAGACACTTGTAGGAACGCAAATAAGATATAACGGTAAAGCTGTAAATTAAAAAAAAATAACAAAATTCAAAACAGATTATTTTATGACTTCATTTACGAATATATTTTTAATAACCTGGAATAATTATCTACTTTAAGAACAGAAACTCTGGATTAGATACTATCTATAAATAATACACAGAATTACGCATACAATATTAGATTATAAACAAAAGTTGAATCTTTTCCTTTATTAATAATATCTGCTGAACGTTTTTTCTAAAAAAATATTCACATAATCATATTTATCGATACTTATCTAAAATTTCAGGGAAAAATGAATATAAATAGTGATAGCGTTGGTATAGAGTTTCTAAATATTTCGCTAAAACATTGTAATTTTTAGTTTTCTTAAATAGATAATACAGCATTATAAAGTAAAATCAACTCCAAAGAGTAAGCTAAATTTTAATGGTAGATATTTTTTTACTATTTCTCCTATTTAAAAACGTACGCATCTATGTAAAAATAAGTCATTTCATTAGGTGAACTTGAGAAATATTGAGAGACTGAATTATTTTTGGCAATATTTGTAAAATGTTATTATCATTAAATTATTAAAACTATATTATACCAAATATATTGTAGAATAACCAAATTTATAATACTTGATATCATTGTTCAAGAAATCATACGGTGTAAATTAAGGTTATTAATTCTGTTAGACAAAGAAAATTAATAATAAGTAAATACTCATTAATTTTAACCACAAAAAAAACAGAGTAATTGAGATGATTTTTTTCATTTTTTAAATTCTAAAATGTACTCTTGCAGATAAAACACCAAACAATTTCTATTTCTGGATAATTTAAAAACATGACGCCCAATACAAAAAATTATTAATCAAAAGTGAATAATACTCTAAATATAGTAAGATACCACCGTCTCAATGTGACGTTTTGAAATGGTGGGATGTAGAAGAAAAAAGACGCATATATTTTCATATAAAAGCTAGACGACGTTATTTCGGAGCTTCAGTTCTTGACAGGAATTGGTGAGTTTACATATCAACAATGTCCTTAGAACGTCAAGTGCGCGCCAAAGTAAGTTTTCAGATGAGATCATAATTTAAAATTTTTATTTGTAAAAAATATTTAATGTGTAAAATATCCACGAAATATTTAATCAGTATCTTAAAGGTATTTAACGAAGTGCATTGATTCATAGCTCGCTTCAAAACGCGACCCTCAACAAGATAAAGAAGCTCAAGAATGGATTGAAACCCTACTTGGAGCCAAATTCCCTCCAGGAGAATTGTATGAGGATGTAATTCGCGATGGTACTGTTCTATGTCAAGTTATCAACAAGTTGGCCCCAGGATCTGTTCCTAAGATCAATACCTCAGGGGGTCAATTCAAAATGATGGAAAATATCAACAAGTAAGTGATACGTTGTTTGTTTATATAACTATGTGCCCATATATGTATGTAAGTCAAACATTTAATTTTGTTTTATAGTATCATATACTTTTTTTGCGATGTATCTATATGTGTATATATACACACATCTATTTTTGAAAATATGCGTCGACTTTACAGTTGTAGAACGTCTTTCTAAATATATACATGCATACATAACCGAACGTTTACGAAATATTGGAAACTTTATCCCAATCGGTAATCATACTTATTTTTAGTTTCTCAAATTTAAGTTTCCACGATCACAGTATTATAGCATGTTGCTTAAAATAAAGTTGTGAATCCGCGGATGTTAAGTATATATGAGGAGTACGCTATTACGAATATTTGTTTCTTGAGTATTTTTATAAAACGTTTATTTTTTTGGGATGGTCGTAAAATAATACAAATAATTGTAAAGTAATATTCGTTTCTATAGGAATTGTATTTTTTAGCTTCCAAGCAGCTATCAAGGCTTACGGTGTAGCGGATATTGACGTTTTCCAAACAGTTGACCTTTGGGAAAAGAAAGATATTGCCCAAGTGACCAATACTCTCTTTGCCCTTGGTAGGGAGACTTATAGGCACTCAGAATGGCCAGGACCATACCTTGGACCTAAGCCATCCGACGAAAATAAGAGAGAATTTTCTGAGGAACAACTTAAAGCTGGACAGACTGTTATTGGTCTGCAAGCTGGACAAAACAAAGGTGCTACTCAAGCTGGACAAAATATTGGTGCCGGCCGTAAAATTATTCTTGGAAAGTAAAAAACAGAAGACTCTTTTAATTATATTTTTCCATTTTTTTTATTTATCAACATTATGTTGAACCAGATAATAAAATTTATTTACTAATTTTGCTGTTTTTTTTAAATTAGACATTAACTTATACATTTAGTAAAAATGTAGATTTTTTTCAATCACAGAAGTTTATTGTAAAATTGCATATAAAATTTAAGTTAGTGTTAATCTGTTAGATCATTTTAAATGCTCTTTGTGTAAGGGTCCTTGCATTCTTAAAAGATTTATAATTATTTTGTAAAGCGCCAATAATTCTTTTCACAGTGCTATTGTTAGTCAATAACAGGAACATATAATTTTTTCTATTCTTTACAATACTCTTTTACAATACATACTCCTAATATCAATTACTAAGTGATTCAATCTTAAATTAACTATCTTTCACTACCACTTTCCACGGGCATTTAAAAATAATACCATTAAATTTATTTATTTTTTTCTTGGACACTAAACTCTGTTGAGTTTATAAACAATATCGATTTTACTTTTCAACTGATTGAGATATCTGAATATCTATAATTTTGTGTACAGTATACCTAGTGACTGTAAAATATCAGGGTGAGTAAGTCCAATCGCTGCCATAAATATGAGAAAGTGTAGCATATACTGGTAGTATCGCTTTATTTAAAATTGGAAGTAGCCTTTCTTTATTTAGATATCTTTTGCATATTTAAATTTTTGTATAGAAGAACTTTATTAGAGAAGATCAAAAAAAGAACTGAATTTATTTGATTTAGCTTACCTAATACTTTTAAAATTCAGTAAAAATGCGAGAGATAATAATAAAATATGTTTTTAAAAAGAAATTTAGAAAAATTGAAATAATTTTTTAGATAGAAAAACAATTATAATGTCATGTCAAATCTTTCTATACTGCCGTTTCAAAATGTCTTTTTTTCTAAGAGTTTGATGTTTAATAATTTATTTCCAGTTAATATTTATTAATTTCACGAGAAAGCTAGCCTGATGAAACAATTCCATGTAAATTGTGGAAATAAAAAGATCTTTTTGTAGTAGCTGTTTTTTACATGACTATTCTTTGCTAAGGGTGATATTAGAACAGTAAGAGTATAGAATATTTCTTTGAATGATTTATTAAACAATTTCAATATATCAGGTAGGCATGTGTTTTTGTATCAATTACATTTAGACATATCATTATTAGTTTTTAATTTGGATAATTATTATACAGCCATACAAAAAAATGTTTTTCAGGTCTGAACGTCAGACTATGTCTGATGTATGATCCACTTAACCCCATCACGCCAGGTTTTACCGATAACCCCATATCACCTCATAACCCAAGTTGTCAAGCCCTATTACACACAACGGTCCTATTTAGGGAGCTGTGTACCAATAAGCCCATAATTCTATACATTCAACCTCAAACCTCCTAGCCCCACAACCGTATAATCCCATAACTCCATAACCGATAACTCCAATAACCACGTTACTCAGTATTGTAGTTTGACTTGATCTCTCATCGCGGGATATATCCAGACTATAAACAGAATATATTTAACCCCTTAATCCCCCAACCTCCTAACTCCATAACCCTATAACCCCATAACCCCATAACCCCATAACCCCATAACCCCATAACCCCATACCCCCATAACTTCAATAACGACGTTACGCAGTAGTTCGATTGTTTGATGCAAGGGACACAGTCTATATCGTTATTGGCTCCCAGTTTCATCATCTCCAGTAGATTCTCCGTCAATTTCAAAAATATCATGCCAAATGAAGCTTATTGACCAAATACTATGGTAAAGTTAAGGAATGTATTATCGCATCGTCAAAGAACCCCGCACAAAACATATGGAAATTGAGCACCGGTCAATGTCTATAAAACTTCGTATTTAGATAGTCCTCGTCATGCTGATCAAAAGTCTTAATGAGTACGAAGCCCTATAACCCCTTCCAACTCCCCAAAACCACTCCCAAAGGTCAGAGGGATCCACTTGACAGATTATAGGTTAATTTGCTTACCCAAATATTTTACTACTGTAACCGACATGTGACTTTTCCCTGCTTACTGGTTCAATTCTCGGGGGTCGGCGTCGGAGAGTATAGAGTAGTGATCGTTTAGGTGGCTGTGAGATGGAATTCACGATTAAACAGTTACACAACCAGTAAGCAGGGAAAAGTCACATGACAGGCTTTGGTAGTTGATGTGAAGGGAGAGGGATGGTTTGGGTGGCTGTAGGTTCGACTGCAGTAGTAAAATATTTCGGTAGTTTTATCGACCGATAATCTGTCAAGTGCATCCCCCTGACCTTTGGTGGTAGTTTTGGAGGTTGGTGGGAGTTGTACGGCTCGATGCCCATTGATAGTCTTAAGCCTAGTTATGGTATACATGACTGTAAGTTCGACTACAGTAGTGAAATATTATGGTAAGCCACTTGACCTGTAATCTGTCAAGTTCATTACTCTGATCTTTGGGGGTGGTTTTGGGGGGTTGGAGGGCTTCGTGTCCATTGAGACTTGATCAGCATGACGAGGACTATCAAAACACGAAGATTAATAAAAATTGAGCGGTGTTCAATTTCCATATGTTTTGTGCGGGGTTCTTTATGTTCGATGAGATCACGGTTAGGATGTTCGCATAGTGGAGTACTTAGTAAAGGACACATAAAATTAATTAAATTACAAATATTTACTGATTGAAATTCAAGTCAGAATACAGATGTGGGTGATAAACTTGTGCTTTATATTGCAGTTATAGAGGAACTTTTTTTAATAAAATGAAATCAGAAGATTAATTCAGGACAATATGTCACTGGACATCCTTTGTAAATAAACAATGCATCTTGTTTCTTCCATTTCTGGTTTAGTAGCGTGGCTACCTTCTCCAGCCAGTCCACGAGTTATAAACACCCACTCATAAGTCAGAGACCGAGGGTCAATGAGGTAGAACTAGTATCCAGTCACTAATATCCATAATCATAGTCATTCCTTGAGGAACAAGGATCCCTTATTCCTTATTCCTTATGATATGCGGAATACGGAATAATATGACTATGAATACGGGTATAATAAGGTAGTGTGCCAATATAACCACCTATGATTTCTGCTGAAATGCCTTCAGCTGTGATTTGTTTGAATTGAGGTCATGTCAAGAGGGAATGTAGATAGCCTATTTCGCAATATGCTTTATATGAGGCAGACATAATGTTACCATCCGCTCATGTTGATTTTTTGGCGAAACAATATACCGGTTCCAATGTGGTGAGATATCTTATTTGAGAGTAAATATATGGATTATTGGATTCAGGAGTTTCTTGTTGGAAGTAAAGGTTATGAACTACTAAATCAATTCCACCTAGACTTGCTGCCAAGTCTTGTAAAAACCTGCAGTGAAGCATATAGTGATTAATATTAAGTTATTTGAGACTGGGCAACTGTAGATCTACACTTCTACAACGGGAAGACTGCCTCGCACCTCTTAATGTGACCAATTGCCATCGTACTCTCCGGGAAATTCGTAAGTTCTCAACGGCAACCTTTTTTTTATTACAATTCTGAATCTCGCCTCGAGACATACGTCACTATGGTCGGATTTAGCAGATCGATCGGATATTATTATATCATCATCTCCATCACTCTCACCAGTCGTTGCTTCAACCCTCTCTGGTTGTATCTAAGGTTGCATACAATCGACGGCGACTACGTTGTCATATTTGGCTATGTCGCTTCTAGGGACAGGATAGGAACTGAAGAGTGAATGAGTTCGGTGGGACTGGTTTGCTTTTTAACACGCATTGGACTTGACTCGTATGAAAATATGACACAGTTGGTGCACTAGTATATACTAGAACTAGGCAGCCCGCGGTACGGAGACGAAGGGTGAATATTTCGCAATATTTAGAGTTCAGTTTAGCTTTAATAGTTGTGCTTTACGTTTCGTGTCAATTTAATGCTATAAAACATGTCGATGAAAAACAAAAGAAGCCCGGTATGATTATACTATTTTATTTTAGACAAAGAAAAACAAATAGCTAAATGTACTGTTTACAAACAAAAATTGTGTTACAAACGCTCGGTACCTAATTTAAAAAACACTTCATTAGGAAGCATACTACTATTAAATTAACTCAAGAAAGTTTAAATTCTAATGAAACAGACGAAAATCGTCTGTCTATTAATATTGACTGAACATTCTTCGACTATATCGGACGAAAATATCAATAATCCAGTGGACCCGACGTCATCAACAAGTTTTAAAATTTTTAATAAACAGCCTAGAAAAAATATTCAAGAGAAAATGTCCACTTTTATACCTATAAAGATGTCAATAAAGCAAAAACAAAAATAGATACTTATTTGCTAGACTTATTTATATTAAATTACCAACCGTTTCGCATTACCGACGATAGGTAAGGGTTTAAAAAAATTGTTAAAGCTTTAAATTCATCCTATGTTTTACTTAATAGGCATACGATATCCCAAACCCCATAGAATATTACAAGATGCTAAAGAAAAAATGAAAAATATTTCTAGTACAGGGTGTCTCATAATAAGCTGCCAACCCTGAACAGTCCGATTCTATGATCAAAACTGAGTAAAAAAGTTCATATGAACATGGGTCCGGAAATGCTTCCTAAGGGCACAGGGACCCATTGAAGAGGGAGGAATGGAAATCATTTTTTTGCAATATCTCTCAATCGCGTTGTGATAAATGAATGAAATTTGGTATACACAGCTAAATTTTGATGAGCAATTTGATGGACTAATCCATTTATTTCCACAAGGTCCATTGGGGTGGGTACGGGGGGGCCCTTGGTACTTTGCGTGTGTAACTTTTTCATCTTTGACTTTTTAACAAATTGGACAGCAAATTCCGTTTTCCCGAACTGTTTTACGTTAAAAAGGTACTCTTGTTTCAAATCGTTATCTTTAACGGTTTCTGAGAAAATCGCTCTTGAATTAATCCCACTTTGGTCAATTTCATAGTAATTTAAACAAAATTATCAAGGTATTCTTATGTCAAAGTATTGTCAACCCGATTGCCAATTTAATAGTTCTAAGCGAAAAAAATGGAAGAGTTTACGG